ACTATATTCCTGCCATTTTTTTCTTAAAATGGCACATTTAGAAAGTACTTGGTCTCAGCCTTACATACATACCTCAAATGGTCACATTGCATACACTTAAACCTACTATACACACCATTGAAGTTGACATGGCTTCGTTTTTAAAGTATTAAAAAACACTGTCCTACCCGGAAGTGCTATTTACCGGAGTGACACCATAAACATCGTTCAAATATATCACGTGACTGAAAGTCTCGTAAAGTATCGAACAATAACGATAATTATCGAACGTGGCATTCGGTATATATTTACCGAATATAAATAATTTAAACACCGAATGTACAAATAATTAATTGAATTATACGTGCGTTAAGGAAAACAAATTGATTCGCTGCATCACACAAATACATGAATAAATACCAAATGTGAATGCCAACACAAAGAACAAGTGAAACTCTTTAGCGAATATAATTTGTATAGATTATTACATTCGATAAAAAAAAAACATTCGATAGATTGGGTAAAGGTTTGGTAAATTGTTTTGTTTTATTTGGTATTTATGGAATATTTAATATACCGAATAAAGAAGCAGTTTAAACACCATAGTCCATGGCACTCCTACTAGCTATTACTAAACATTAATTGCCAATACATAGTGCCATACATCTTTTCTTATACCATGAACAAAACAAATGTCAAGTAGGTGGTATTGACCCTATGACCAAAATTTCCCTCTTTTTGATGGCATATAGAATTCTTGGTTTAATTTCAAATTATCAAAACAACTTTGTTCAGTTATTTACCTTTATTCAAATTTTCAGGATTTTTAAATTTTCTGGAAAGGGTCGGGATAAATTCCCATTCACATAATGTTAAAAAATCTTTGAAAGTTCATTTACGCTTTTAATATTCACAATTTTAATCACAATCCACATGTCAAAAAGATCGGATAGTTATACGCCAATGGAATTTTACATAGATCCATAAAGAAATACTTGATAAATCAAGAAATTAAGTGATATTTTTGCCAGTTGTCTATATGTTATGGATAGTATTCTGGTCCTACACGTGCTGACATCTTTTTATCCATCTCTATATATCTATATAGCAAATGGGCCATTCTACGAAGTGTCCAATCTTCTGAACAAAAGTGTATACCGGAAAATTTTGCTCTGCAGAATGGGTCTGACAAGAACGAAATACAGGGTGACCGGAAAAAAAGGAGACCATTGAAATAGGCAATATCTCCTAAAATAGACTAGTGACATCAATGAAATTTTGCATACATCAGGACAGTTCTATGGAAATTTGTTCCTGAAAGTGTCAATACAAGCAGTCAACTGGTTCAGGAGCTATGATCATTTACATGACATGCTCCAAATAGGCGCAATTGAGACCAACGCAGAGCTGGATACATTTGGCAAATACCCTTACATATTCCGACCTTGTTATGGCATTACATTTAGCATTTATTGCCACCTTTAGGTCAGCAATTGTCTCAGGATTGTTTTGGTACACATTGTCTTTCAAATTGCCCCACAAAAAGAAATCAGGTGGATTCAAATTTGAGGTGTATGGAGACGAAGCTTATCTGACCTATGGCTTCTGACTCAGTGGTCCCACTCAGTTACAGTATCATCCTAAGGAGGTTTTGGGCAGCCCTTGGTTTTCATATGGGATTTAATTGTGCCATATAGTGGTTTTAGTAACATGGCACTATGCCCAATACCTAAAGTGACTCTTAAGATTTGGTAAATCAGCACTTTGGCAACAGGATGATGAACCACATGTCAGATAACCCTTCATTGCCATTACAGCCTAGACTTGAATCCTGCTGATTTCTTTTTGTATGGATATTTGAAAGACAATCTATACCAAAACAATCCTCAGACTATTGTTGACCTAAAGAAGGCAATCACTGCTATATGTAATGCCATAATAATGCCATAGAGGGCAGAACATGTAAGGGTAGTTTGCCATATGAATCCAACTCTGCGTTGGTCTCAATTGTGCCTATTTGGAGCATGTTATGTAAATGATCATAGCTCCTGAACCAGTTGAATGCTTGTATTGAAACCTTCAGTAACAAATTTCCATATAACTGTTCCAGTGTATGCAAAATTTCATTGATGGCACTTGTCTAGTTTAGGAGAAATTGATTACTTCAATGGTCTCCTTTTTTTCCGGTCACCCTGTAGCTTATACATATAATTGTAAGTTTCATAACCCCCCTATCACACCAAACTAGTTCTTACCCGTTCTTGCCAGTCCTACGAAAACGTCGTAAAACGGGCTCAATCTGGCTGTGGTCGGGAAATATGTCTAAAATAATTAGCTACTTCGTTCATAAACGGTCGCACCACGTCGGTGTGCAACGTCGTATAACGCGTCCCTTATTTTTTTTTATTTATTTATTTGCCAACACTTTTATAACAGTGGCACATGGATAATTATCCAGTGCGGCTACATACAACTATACAATATGAATAGAATACAAAGTCATGTTATAATTTCTTTAAAACAATGTTGCATATACTAAAATAATCAAAGACATAAATCTCTGGGCTTGTACACTTGGGTTAAAAAGCGTTTTACAATGCTATCAAATAGTCTAAAATAGTCTTGCCCCCATTTTGAAAAAGTCTCATCACCAAGAATAAAGGTCAATTTTTCAGTCAGATTGCCCTTAATGAAATCAGAAAATAAATCGGAGGGACATTGCTAGAAGGTCATCATGACCTGATTACAGAACGGTATGGTCATGTCGATTCAAAATCACATTCCCCGTCCGGGAAAGTCCATGAAGTTCGCAAACAGACCGTAGAACGTTGAAGCTACGTTCATTCCGTTCGCACACAGTTTAAAACCAGTTCTGAAGAACGCAGTGGCATTGCTTGGTGTGATAGCTATTTTTTGCTAACTCGTTGATAAATACATTCTTAATCAGTTTTAAGCCGTTTGCAATTAGTTCTACCTCGTTCTCAATACGTCATCAGACAGTTCAACTCGTTGTAAAAACGACCCTAGTAGGTTTGAAGTACGACGGTTCCTTTCGTAGTACGTCCAGCTCGTCGTTAGTAGGTTGTCACTCGTTCTAATTGTATAACGTGACGACCAAGAGAACATTTTGAGCATGTTCTAAGCTCTAGAGGACCTACCCGTTCGATTACGTTCGATTAAGTTTGTAAATAGACACCAAACGGTTCTAAGTACGTCCACTCCGTTCGTACACAGTTGAAGCCCGTTTTCGAGAACGTAGTGACTAGTTTTGTGTGATAGTAGGGTAAGAAGGCAATTAAACATTTCAAACAAAATGTGAGGAAGCAGGAAGCAAATTGAACGTTGTAGACGTAAATAACTTGTAATAACTGTAATAAAATTTCACTACACCAAACGGTGTAATTCCCAGATACCTCTCATGAGCAATTTATCTAATAAATCCTAAATTGATTATATTCCAAGTTGACACAGGTAAACTTTGATCGCGTATACAATGTGCAGATTGATATGAATTGCAATGTTATTAATGTTTTACATCTGCAACTACGTTATGTTAAATAAGTTAGGATTGCCTTTTCACCAAGGCACAAAAAATGAAACGCGAAATATTGTAGACTGTTCAATCTGAATTAAAAAATGAAAGTAAACCAATACAAAATATTGTCACAGTACACAACTCATCGGCTCTTTAATTTCTTTCTCGTGTTGCTATTTAAAAACAGAAATATTTGATTAGTCTGATCAGAATGGCATTAATAGTTGATTTTGTCATTGCGCACGGAAAAATATTTTCATTTCACTTGAAGCACAAGGAATATAGTGCGACAAAAACATGATAACTTTATCTCAAAATATAAGAAAAAACTTTTTCTTGCTTTTAACAAAAATGCCAACACATGCAAAATGTTCCTTGGCCCTTTGATTGAGGTTGAAATTAAAGTAAAGTTAACAAACACTTAAAGGCCTAAATTTCTGTTAAGTAGAAACCCAGGGTGTTTTAATTATAGCGCCAGTTAACATACCCATTAAGAGCTGACCAATCAGCTGGCAGTAGAAGTTGCTTTTGTTTATTTGAACCCTTCTTGACCTGAAATCTGATCTTTGACCCTCGCTGTGGATGATGCTATTGGTTAGATTCAAATTTTGAACTTTTCTACTGAACATAATTAAGTAGCATTTAAAAAACTTTGACTTGTTCTTATTCAAAATTAGAATAATATTTTACCAAACTGATTACATTTTTGTTGTCTCCATATGTTCATACATGACCACAACAAGTTTCGAAACAAATAAAAGCCACATTATTGAGAAACACTAAAAATCAATTAAGATTTACTGGTTTCTGTTAATAGAAAGTATTCAAACAGACATATTTGGCTGTTCCAAGCAACCCCTTCTCCTTTTATACCGGATTTTGGTCTTTAAAGGACTAGAACTAATCTACCAATGTGCCAGCTAGTTACCACTTACCACTTACCAGTTATCATCAAATAGCATGGCACATATTCAAAAATATAATGAATTTATTTGATCAATTTTTATTTAACCATTCATGTTTGAGAATTCTACTACTGAAAATTCGCCTAGTTAAATAGAATTTTATCTATCCGAAACTAGAAAAAGTATTTCAATTTGTATCTTATGGGCTCCATGGAGAATCTACCCGACCGAGTAGTCTCATTTTGAAAGAAACATAAAATTTCAAAGTTGATAAACCCTTTTTAAAACCACATTTCTCGATGTAAGTTTATGTAGATTTCAGACATGATATTACTTTGACTGAATTTTGAATAAATAAAAACGAAAATCAAAAATATTTTCACTTGCACCTTGTCTAATAGAAGTCTAAAAGGGCTGTGTCTTGTTTGATGCATCGAATATCAATGAACCAATTGCAGACAACGGATAATTATCTTGGTGTAAGCTAACATGACTTTATTAAACCGTAGTAACACATTTAAAACGATCGTCCCCAATGAAAGTTTATCACATTCTATAAAACAAATATAAACTTCACTTACCTAATGTGATAATTACTAATAGAACAATCACTTGTAATAAATTCTTCATTTTATATCAGCGTTTATTACTCGGTGAAAGTTTATAGCGTCTTCAGTACACCTCCAATGGGTTCCCTCGTCTTAGTACAACGTTAACTGTGTTTGGTCAACGTGATGCGCAAACGTAAATTGCTCACTTGCGATTTCTTCTAATATATGAACTCGGTGCCTAGTAATTAAATCAGTAAAGGCGGTCTTTCTGTTAATGTTTATGGTTCAGTCTCACAATATAATGCTATTTTAATGAGTAACTAGTAAAGATCTGGAAAATTGTTGCTGTTTTTCTAATGTGACGATAAAGCGGTGCTGAGTCTCTTCTTATGTATTTTCGTATTGGTAGTATGAGATCTGAACGTTGGATGATTGTCTCCCTCCTCTCTTCCCTTTTGTAATTACCTCTTCCCGTCGTACAACTTGAGATCCGTTGGTTTGTGCAGTTCTTGAAGAACTTGGCTACTTATAGGAGAATCAAGTGCTGTAATTGATTCCTCATACAGTCCTCGAGGTTATTTCGTTCATTAGACATGTAATGTATTGCCTCATTATTCTTCATTCTGATTGGTCAATATTCACTGGAGACACATTTAGGTTGGCGGATGAACCAACAAATAAGTTGTGACATAATTATAATACGTCAGAGTAGTATTAGGTGAGAGATTTGTGAGCTTATAGGTCCGTGACAATTCCTAAAAGGCCATATTGTTCATTTGTTATATTGGAAAGGTTTTGGGGTAATGTTTATTTACTGGGAGGGATTGGATGGGTTTCATACCAAGTGCCAATGAGATATTTCATGAGGAACCTAAGGGGCCGAAGGAAATATCACCCGTTTAAAATATCATGAGGAACCTAAGGGGCCGAAGGAAATATCACCTGTTTAAAATATCACATGAACATTTATGTCATGATATTAAATAAATTAAGTTAGGTACAACATAATGTAGGCTCTGATATTATCAGAAGCGAATGAGGATACGAAAATGTTACATTTAATATAAATCACGTGAAGTGATTACCAATTAATAACATGTGGTTCAGTAAACGAGCATTACATCTATTCAATTCGAAACAGTGATTATTCTGCGCAATCTATATGCTATTAAAATAAAACCCGACACGTGCATATTATAGGGGTACATGTACAGGGTGGTCAAAAAATGTCCTCACATCTTTGTCATTTCAAAAAAGAACTCCCTGATATTTCACATTTTTATATATCATTCAATTTGCTACCAGCCTACTTTATTTCATGACCATCAGATTGATAGTCACAATGTTACAGTGCTTTAAAGAACATGCCAAGTGGTCACTATTGCGTTGTGGGGAAACCTGTACTCATCGTCTAGAATGTCACTACCTGTGCGGATATGGCAGAGATAGAGTATATGAGAATGACCTCAGGACAATTGCAAACCTCAAATGTGAGATCATCCATGTCATTCAGGCTATACCTACTGAGGAATGCATTCGGGTCATTGACAACTGTGCTATTTTGCCTACAGCGCGATGATGGCCAAATCTGAAGCATGTTATTCAAAGTGCTGTAAAATTGTGACTATCAGTCTGATGGTCATGAAATATGGTAGGGCAGTAGGAAATTGCATATGTGTGAAATGTGTCAAATGTATGAAATATCAGGGAGTAACTGATGAAAGTGACAAAGATATAAGGAAAATGCAGGGTTTCCATTTTTTGACCAACCTTTTAATATGGAATGTTGAAAAATCACATGTCCTAATTTTAAGGCGTATGACGGTAAAATTGATAGATTTGATAAAAATGCAACTGAAGAATGCAGTAGTCTCGAAATGTTTAAGATACATGTATGGTTGTTATGATGGATGATGTCAGGGGAATCCGAATGCGGACCAATATCAAAACAATTCTAAAATGCAATTAAAGAACAATTTTACAAGTTATTTTACATAATCCACACCCATCTTGAATTGAAACATACGTGTTAGAGGGAGAGAAATTTATTACATATCTTACGGATAAATCCCTTTCAGAAGTCCAAACCTGCAACCTCTATTGATATCTGAAAACAAGATTTTCCAGAGTCAGACATTCAAATTATATTGAACTGAAGGCCGGATATTGTCAACTATTTGAGAGAGATGGCTATCCCATCGATCTCTTTGAACACCAAATACACCATGAATGTGTATACATCTGGAATATAAGGAATCTTGGCTTCCGAAAATGAAACGATATTATTTTATTTACATCATCATAAATGACGTCGATGATGATAATGAGGTTGGTTGTCCTAATTACATCAAGAACATTGTAAATGATATTATTGGAGATGACGAGGGTGGATGTTCTAACATCAAGAATATTGTAAATGATATTATTGGAGATGACGAGGGCGGATATTCTAACATCAAGAATATTGTAAATGATATTATTGGAAATGACGAAGGCGGATGTTCTTACATCAAGAATATTGTAAATGATATTATTGGAGATGACGAGGGCGGATATTCTAACATCAAGAATATTATTAATGATATTATTGGAGATGACGAGGGCGGATATCCTAACATCAAGAATATTGTAAATGATATTATTGGAGATGACGAGGGCGGATATTCTAACATCAAGAATATTGTAAATGATATTATTGGAGATGACGAGGGCGGATGTTCTTACATCAAGAATATTATAAATGATGTTATTGGAGATGACGAGGGCGGATATTCTAACATCAAGAATATTGTAAATGATATTATTGGAGATGACGAGGGCGGATGTTCTTACATCAAAACTATTGTAAATGATCAGGAGATGACTAGGGTGGATGTTGTGACATCAAGAATAATATTGTAATTATTGTAAATGATGTTGGTGAAGACGTTGAGGGTAGTTGATCTAAAATCAAGGTATTGTAAACTATGTATGAAGGAAATACAATCGAAAATGCGGTCTTTGGATTCCCAATAGATGTCTTGCCATACTTTCCTGTGTGATGTCAAATACAGTTGTGCATATTACAGTTGTAATAAGTAAAAAATATTGGAGTGTTCATAACATGCAGGTCAATAAGTAAAAAACTTCTAATATATTCTAGGATGTAGATAATGAGATAGCCCAGGAAGTGAAATCCTCCATACTCAGACACCAATGGTACCTCACTGAATCCCTGGTAGTCTTTGCCCTGTTTGATGATGGTCTGGATGACATCACACGGAAAAGTATGGCAAGACATCTATTGGGAATCCAAAGACCAAATGTCTTCAACCCTGGGAAGCCAGATTTCCACACTGATATACTCATTCAGCCCAACCAAGAACTTATTGACTTTTTAGGGCCAAGATCTTGGTTGTTATTTGATCTTACAAATGGGGATACAACTTGGCTCAATCGACCCATCAACCAGTGGGCTACACATCAAGGATATATTACATTAGCAGCTATTGTGCATAATCTGTATGTGGTTAATGACGCTGCAGAGAGGAGCGTAAAAGACATACAAGACTACGCCAATGCTGCCCGTGATGGCACTGTGAGGGCTAGAATGATTCTGGTTTCCTCCTCTCATAGGGCCAAGATCCCTGCATTCCTAAAAAATGAAATGCAGAATAATCTGTAGACATTAGACATTGTTATTATAACTTGTTAGATCATTTATGAGTACATGGGTGGAACTAATTCAGTGTAAACCATTATCTAAATGAATGCATGATCCCCTTATAACCAGGACTCTAAAATATGGTTTACAGTGCTTAACCTTTGCAGTACCATTTATCTAATTGTTATTACCATCAATACCAGTTTGATGGTGTTTAGTAGTTAGAGATAAGCTACCATATGAATAACAGTAAAAGAGCAAATAGTTTGTTTCAAAATGTGATATATTTGCGATTTTCGCTCAAATATTAGTAGGAAAAGGGTTAAATAATTAATGAACAAGGTATACTATGTTTTCAACTGTATGATAATACATAATGACCATAACCTAATGATTTTGACAAGGTTTCTGACATCCATCCTTCATATTTTACCTTGTAAGGCTAGAAAATGACGTTTTTTGCCGTTTTTTACCAGTTTTCGCAAAAACGTCGGTAGGGGGGGGGGGGGGGGGGTCAAACGTCGATTTTAGGAACCGAAATTTTTTCAGCTTAAATTTTACTATCAAGAGCCCATCTGGGCTGAACTGCATCTTGCGAGCATGAAAAGGCCATATTCTGGAACACCCTAATGTTCTTACATCAAGAATATTATAAATGATATTATTGGAGATGACGAGGGCGGATGTTCTTACATCAAGAATATTGTAAACGATATTATTGGTGATGACGAGGGTGGATGTTCTTACATCAAGAATATTGTAAATGATATTATTGGAGATGACGAGGGCGGATATTCTAACATCAAAAATATTATAAATGATATTATTGGAGATGACGAGGGCGGATGTTCTTACATCAAGAATATTGTAAATGATATTATTGGAGATGACGAGGGTGGATGTTCTAACATCAAGAATATTGTAAATGATATTATTGGAGATGACGAAGGCGGATGTTCTTACATCAAGAATATTATAAATGATATTATTGGAGATGACGAGGGCGGATATTCTTACATCAAGAATATTGTAAATGATATAATTGGATATGACGAGGGTGGATGTTCTAACATCAAGAATATTGTAAATGATATTATTGGAGATGACGAGGGCGGATGTTCTTACATCAAGAATATTATAAATGATATTATTGGAGATGACGAGGGCGGATATTCTAACATCAAGAATATTGTAAATGATATTATTGGAGATGACGAGGCTGGATGTTCTAACATCAAGAATATTGTAAATGATATTATTGGAGATGACGAGGGCGGATGTTCTTACATCAAGAATATTGTAAATGATATTATTGGAGATGACGAGGGCGGATGTTCTTACATCAAGAATATTGTAAATGATATTATTGGAGATGACGAGGCTGGATGTTCTTACATCAATAATATTATAAATGATATTATTGGAGATGACGATGG